GATGGTGCATGAGGGCTTAGGAGTTGGGAGGGAATCAGCCATCTCATATAGGAGTTGTAGAAAACCTAAAATGGTCCTAGGTTATCTTCCTTGCTCCTCCACCCTGCCAAGAGCCCTCACTTTCCAGGGATCCGGAGAAGGTGTAAAAGGAGGAGGTCTAGGAGGGGCAGATGGGAGGAGCATCACAGCTCAGAGACGGTCCTCGAATCACAAGAGGACTCAAAATTCCGCCCAAAGGCCATCTTCTGCTATCAGAATCCTCACCCTGGGGCGGGGCTTCATCCCAGCCTGTGGACTAGCTACCTGCCCATAGGACTCAGCCTTCCACAGGACTCAGCTTGCCAGGGCCTGGGATCTTTCCAAGACTGGTCAGGATGTGCTGTTTAGGCTCCGAGGCCCCCCCAGCTCTCTGGCTCCCATTGCCTTGTGAGGTCCAGAGCCTTTCCTGCGTGTGACCTAAGCTGACGGCACTCACTGCTCAACAGCACGGTGTGTGAGAGGCTTGTTTCTCACTGGAGGTCCCCCTCTGCTTTGTTTCAGACATTTATGGTGCTGAACAAAAGGAGGACTATTTCCCGGTTTAGTGCCACTAGGGCCCTGTGGCTCTTCACGCCTTTCCACCGGATCAGAAGAACGGCCATCAAAGTGTCCGTCCACTCGTATCCTTTGCAGTTGGTCTCTTCCACCCGTTAGAATCAGGCCTTGTGTTTAATGTCTTCTTCAAAGGCTGGCAATTGAATCCTGAGATAAGGATACCATGAAAGTTAAAAAAAATTGTTCCTTTAATGTGCTTGACACCCCAAAGCCACCCCAAAAACACAGAAGAACCCAAAGGCCTGAGGTTCATCTCAGCGTGATCCAGACACAACGTAGAAAATGTCCTTTTTGATGAAAGAAGCTTTGACTGAGACCCCCAGGAACATTCTCCCCGTGGGATGTGCCCCACTGTTCCCATCCACCTCCCTGCACACGCAGAGTAGGGACCCTAAACCTTCTTTGGGCAGGTGGGATAGGCATGGCTGTTACAGTGTGCCTGAGTCATGTCGGGGAGAAGACAAGAGAGTGAGCCCTCCGAGAGGGCAAGAAGAACAGTGTGATGGGCAGAGTCTTGGTCATGAGGCACTGCCAACCCCACTGGCTGCTCCAGGAGAGCCAGCATGCTAAGAACACCAGTAGCCCAAGGCCCCGCCATTGGAGAATATAACGCTAACAACACACACATTGGTCAAGTGTCTATATTACAGTAATTCCTTTAGCTAGTTAAAAAAAAAAAAGATTTCTTCAAGTTTTAGGGGGTTTTCTTTTGGTTGGTTGGTTGGTTGTGAGGGGTGTGTGTGTGTGTGTGTGTGTGTGTGTGTGTGTGTGTTTCAAGGCAAGTCTAACCGGTAGTACAAAGATACTTTGGCCTGGTTTCCAGGGGTCTCCCCTGGTGACCGTCCAAATGGAACATTCCTAATGATTAATTCAGCCTTGGCTTCCAAGTGGTTGATTTTTCTCTTAAGGCCTTGCCTCCACTGCCTGACAGATGGTAGTCAGTCTCTTCTTAGAGGACACCAGTTGGAAGAAAACAAAAAGCCCTCATTCCCTGGCTCAGGAGAAGCTTAGTGGGATGCCCAGACGGTCCTCAGTGAGAAAGCAACTCTAGTTGAGAGGCACCTGCGGCTCGATGGGAAGCTCCCTGCATTGCTGATAAATGTGCATCAGCTTTTTCCTTCAATAGACTTCATTTTTATGGCTAACCAGGTCGTGTTATAGTTTCCTAATTGAAGTTGAGGTCTCTCAATTCCATAGAAGAATATGTAATGGTAATCACAGGCTTTCACTTGCTAAATTCCAATTCAGGGTCAACATTGTTCTCAGTACAGAACCCCTAGAAGCAGGTATTAACATCCCCATTCTGCAGATGATGAAACGGACATCTAGAGGCGTTCAGTAAATTGTTCCAGATTATACACCCAGTTAAGAGGTCGTCCTGCCTCGAGCAATCCCTGGAGTGAAGAAACAGGGAATTAATGGAAATGAACTAGAGTAATTATCTTTTCAGCTTGTCATCGCCCCTTGGGGTTTTAGATACACATATATATGCAATTACATAAAAATTATAAATAAAGAGATGCAGCAAAGATACAAAATCCTATCCATGGAACCTGCTTTAATTTCATCCAAATCATAAGAAATGGCTAATTAGAAATAAAAATCTCTTTAAAGAACTAAGTGACCAGTGAATAGCCTTTTCATCTTGCGATTTGATGAGTAAATGATTGTGTAGTACAGTCACAGCTTGACAGAAAGGCTGCATTTATATATTTAAATCTCATGAACTTGGTAGCTCCAGCCCCCAAAAATGCTCTTCAATGGACGCAATTTTCAGGGTCCTATTATTCATATTTCATCTGCATTATCATTCCAATCATGTTTGCTATCGTGGTTCTCATAGGCAATATCAAACATAATCTCCCATAAAACTTATAAAGGTCTATGGCATTGGAGATAGGATTTTTAACTTAATCCTTGAGTTAACAAGGTCCCCTATGTGAACACATTTCTAAATTTAATTATGTCAACAGGAAAATGTGGCTTAATTAGTAGAATTTCCCTTTTCAAAATAGTCATGTTCCTAAGTAACTATAAAGCAGGGCACATAAAAGGCATTTACAGAGCACGAAAATAGATCTAAAATACTTCTGCTCAAATTGAAATGATGAAGGATGAGTACTGTGCTCGCTCTGTGGGTCAAATTTATCTTCAGACTTTGTTTTTCTGTAGGAAGTAATTAAGAACCCAGCTAATCCTCAGAAGAAGAAGAAAAATGTTCAGATGGGAGAAGTTTATCTCTGGATTCTCTCCACCAGCATTGCTTCCTGTCAACTTACCTCCTTCCGTGTTCCTCCAGTCTTAGGGTCTCCTTTCCCACTGGCAATCCCATTGCCTGCCTTCTGCCCCTAAGATTCTCCTCTTTGAGAATCCAGAGTTCCCCCCAAGACAGTCTAACCCCATGCAGAGAGTTCTTCAGTCAGCATCTCCCTTCTCTGAACCGGCTCCGCCATTCCAAGACCAAAGGCCATCCTCTGCACAACTGATCTCAGCTACATTAGGAAACCAATACAACGATGATGGTTAAGCGACTTCCCATGAGTACTCACTTTCCCTAATCTAGCACTTCCTAAGGAAACCCTTTCTGTCTCTCAAGATAAAAAGAGACATCTGGTAGATGAAATTTCATGGTTGTATAGAAAAATGAAGGCATTTGTTGCAGAAGGATAGTTTGGAAAAGGGATTCCATCTCCTTCCACCTGCCTCAGGGATCTGAGTCCCTACTTGAGCAGCATAATTAACTACTCGTGTGGCCTTGGAAAAGTTATTTGTCAACCTGTTCTCTCAGCTCCAATCAGAGATCATAATATCCACCTGAAAAGGCAGTCTTTTGGCCAATAATCTAGAGTCATATGTGGACCAAGCACACAGCCCAGGGTAGACACTCAGCTCATGTTAATAATGATCAGGTCACAAGACCATAGAGTTGGTACTAGATGGGAGCTATAAATTCAGTCGTTCATGATGATCACAGATGAACCCTGGACACACATGGTGACTCCCAGCTTTTCCTTAACACGCGCCCCTCAGATGGTTCACTTTTTTTATTACAATCACTATTTTGGTCAACTGTGCGTGCATGACTCAAACGGAACTTCCAGATAAACTCGAGTGAGTAGATTTCTATCACTACTGTTGTGCCTCCTCCCCTGTTCGTCTTCTTCCCTCCCCTCACGTGGTGGCCTCGTTCTGTTTATCTACCGGATCTCACTTGGGCAATGCTAAGTCCTAGTGCTCCTCTGGCTTTGTGGTGGTTGGGTCTCTTCTTCTCTGTGGAGTTTTTGTTTCATAAACCCACCTCCATTTTGCAACTTCAAACAGGTATAGATTGGTGGTTCCCAAACTCAACTACATATTGAGTTCCTTTGGGGAGATTTGGAAAGTACTGATGCCTGAATCCCACTTCCCCTCTCCCCAAGTCTAATTTAATTTTTAATTGGTCAAATGTGGTCTGGTATGATGCTCTTCCCCACCCCACACACACACACACACACACACACACACACACTCTGACCGGTCCACATGTGAATGAAGTCTAAGAAGGTCCTACTTGGAAAGAGGAGTATTAGCAAAATTAGCATAGGGCAAATGGTTCTGGAACCTACTCCAGGTATAACCCATGAATGAAGCTGTTTAAATACCATGGCTTCACAGTTGCTTTACATATTCCTAAAGTTATTCTATTTCATGTGAATCCTTTCTCAAAGCATTCTGTCCACTCCAGCTGGGAGAGCTGTCTTCCCCATTTGGGCCTGGTATATCTTTCTGTAGGGTCACAAGCGCGCTATAGGGTTTTCTCTTTTTCTAACCTTTGGTGAGTATGTATGTGTGTGCTGTTTATAAGAGTGACATGGGCCATCATAGAAAATATGTCCTATGTCTATTAACTGATTAAAGAAGAAAGATCATGTCAGCATTTTAATTGATAAAGAAAAACAATTAGCTAAAACATGTGGAACAAAACAAAGTAATAATAAAAATACCCTACTTGCTAGTCTGCTGTCAACGCCTGGAAGCTCCAAGACTGTGGTCCTTCAGACAGTATTCAGAACTGAAGTCACCCTCGTGATTCAACTTTCAGGCAAGCACTAGACCCGGGGAACCCCACACTGCATAGAACAATCAGCCAAAGGAGAGCCAACGGGCAGAAAGGCCCAAGGAGGCAACTCAGGAGCAGGACTGGATGAGAGCCAATGGAAGCAGTCAGCAGAGGGAGCAAGCGGAAAGAGTGCTCTTACTCTGTGGGGCTGCCATCAGCATCATGAAATACAATGTGCAGCAGTTGTGAAATGAACAATCCCACTGCCCTTTCACTCAAATCACAACGAAACCGTTTTCGGGGTTTTTTGGTTTGTTTGTTTTCCAACTTTGCTAAATTCCAATATCTGTGTCTGACTTGAAACTCTTTGAAAAATAGGAGTAGGAGAGCTTGCCTTCTTCTGATAAAACCCACTTCCCTCAAGTCGGTTCTCATTCTTATCAAACCCGTAAGACAGAGTGGAGCTGCTCCTTCAGCATTTCCAAGGCTGTAAACCTTGATGGGAGCAGATAGCCTCCTCTTTCGCTCAAGATGAGGCTGGTGGGTTTGAACTGCGGACCTTGCTATTAGCAGCCCGACCCTTAACCTGATCCACCTCCAGGGCTATGTACTCTGATAATTAGTTTCATTTTTTTAGTGAATACCCTTTATCAGAGTATTCACTAAAAAAATGAAACTAACAAACATCGTACTTCATTGTGGTGCATGGAAAGCTTTCTCCATGAGATCAGAATAAAAAATACAGAGATGGGTGTTCTCATTAGTTCTGTTTAAGTTTGTGAAGGAGTTAAACAGCCGGTGCGCTAATCAAGTGTAGTAAGACAAAAACAAGAGGAGATGGAAGAATAAGAAACACTCAAAAAAATTGTGGCTCACAGATAACATTACTGTGTGTTTAAAATATTCAGCACAATTTAGAGATAAACTATGAGAATTAATGAAAGGGTATAGCATGGTAGCTGAGTACAAACTAATATATGTACATCAGTTGTATATGCATACGTACACACTAGCAGCCAAGAGTAAATAAGTCATTTTTTAAAAATACAGTCAACAGGAGTATCTTAAAATATAGAACATGTGAATAAAATGATCATAGTATGAGTAAGTTCTCTACCAGGGAAATGATAAAACGTTAAGTGGAATTAAAAAAAAAAAACTGGAGAGATAATATGATCTTGGATTTGAAGTCTCCATATTGTCATGACTCCCTAAAATGACTAATATATTAATGTTACCCCAGTCAAATCCCCATGGACTTAAAAAAAATAGAATTAACAAACGAACTCTAACATCGATATGGAAATACAAAGAACACATTATATGGTAACTAAGACGCTTTGAGGAGGAAGGACCAGGAGGGAAAACTGGCTCTACTGGATTCTAAGATTTGCCACAAAAGAAGCCACTCCTACTGATCCTTTCCAATGCATAGCAACCCGAAATTGGGTTTCCAAGACTGTACATCTTCATGGGAGGCAATGGCGGCCTTCAATGAAGGATGCCAAAGTATTAGGAATCCGAGTGCAACAGGGAACATCCAACTTCAGAGAACAGACAAGAATCAATCTAGGTGGATTCAGACGGAAACACCTTCGTGGAAGAGGGGGAAATAAAACTTGTAGAGAGGAAAGAAGAAAACAGAAAATGGCGACAGGCTCTCCGTGGCCTCGGGTTAAAGAAAGATCCATTACACAGGACAGAAGAGGCACATGGTAATTAATCAGTCAAACAAACAACAAAATCAAGCTCACTGCCGTCTCATCCATGCTGACTCATGGTGCCTCTGTAGGGCAGAGCAGAACTGCCCCTGTGGGTTTCCCAGTCTAACTAATTATGGGAGTAGAAAGCCCGTCTTTCTCTGGTGGTTTCCAACGGCTGCCCTTTTGTCTAGAAGCCCAACACACAACGACTATGCTATCAGGGCTCCTAACATAACTGATGATACCCTAAAAGTAAGAATGTCCCGTTCACCAGCAAACATTTTGCGTGGGAAAAGCAAGCTGAGTAGAAGGAGATGTTTTCCACACAGGTATCTGAAAAACTGTGTACACCCAGCATTCAAACCAACTAGAAAAAGCCAGAGCAATCCATTTTAATTTTTTTAAATAAATCATGTTATTGGGGGCTCTTACAGCTCTTAAAATAATCCATACATCAATTGTATCAAGCACATTTGTACATATATTGTCGTCATTATTTCCCAAACATTTTCTTTCTACTTGAGCCCTTGGTATCAGCTCCTCATTTTCCCCTCCCTTCTCCACCCTCTCTCCCTCATGAACCCTTGATAATTGGTAAATTATTTTTATTTTCATATTTTGCACTATCTGCTGTCTCCCTTCACCCGCATTTCTGTTGTTCGTCCTGGGGTGGGGGGTTGTATGTTATCATTGTAATGGGTTTCCCCTTTCTCCCCCTTCTCCCCCCACCTTCCCCCTATCCTCCTGGTATTGCTGCTCTCATTATTGGTCCTGAGGGGTTTATCTGTCCTGGATGTCCAGAGCTCTTATCTCTACCATTGTACATGCTTTGGTCTAGCCAGATTTGCAAGATAGAACTGGGGTCATGATAGTGGGGTGGGGAGCAACAAAGAACTAGAGGAATGTTGTGTGTTTTTTTGGTGCTATACTGCACCCTGGCTGGCTTGTCTCTTCCTTGTGACCCTTCTGTGAGGGGATGTCCAATTGTCTACAGATGGGCTTTGAGTCTCCATTCTGACCCCTCTAGTTCACATCAATATATTTGTTTGTTTGGGGTCTTCTGATGTGTGATACCTGATCCCATTGACACCTTGTGATCCCACGGGTTGGTGTACTTCCTCCATGTGGGCTTTGTTGCTTCCCTGCTAGATGGTTGCTTGTTTAACTTCAACCCTTTAAGACCCCAGATGCTAAATCTTCTAATAGCCAGGTACCAGCAGCTTTCTTCACCACATTAGCTTATGCATCCATTTGTCTTCAGCAATCATGTTGGAAAAGTGAGCACCCCAGGATTCCAGCAATCCATTTTAAAATGAGCAAAAATCTCGAATGAAAACGATCACAATGGCCAATGAGGCATGTGAGAATTTTCGTAACTTGTTTCATAATGGAGGAAATGAGAATTGAAACCACGCCGAAAACTTATTCTTGGACAATTTTAAAGTGTGAGAATGCAAAGTATTGGGCAACGGAAGCTCACAACACTGCTGGTGACGGCTTTGGGAAGCAGTTGGCTTTAGCTGTTAAAGCATTCATACTCTCCCTCCCTCCCTCCCTCACGATCATTTAGTTCATTCCGATCCATAGTGACCCTATAGGATAGGGCTAGAACTGTCCTTTTGGGTTTCTGAGGCAGTACGTCTTTACAGGAGCAGAAAGTCTCCTCTTCCTCCCTCGGAGTGGCTGGTGGGTACAAAGGACTAACTTCATTCCCAAGGTGTAACTCACAAGCCAGGGCAGGACTCCTCTCCCCACCATGAGTCCATCCCGACCCAGAGAGAGAGACCAAAGCCTTGTCTTTTTCCCATGGAGCTGCTGGTAGTTTCAAACTGCTGGCCTTGGAGTGCGCATCCCAATGCATAAAGGCTTCACCACCAGGGCTCCTCCCCATGATCCTCTGTTTACACAGCTACAAACACTCGACAGAAGCATGTGTGTGAGCACCTTTGAACTACGGTTGAAGGACTCATTGCACATAGAAAGCCCCACACTGGAAATAACCTAGATGGTCCATAAATCTGTGAGTAGACTAAGCATTCCTGTTATTTTCTTAGAATAGAATCATGTACAGCAGTAAAAATGAATAAGCCATATAGCTGCCAGCCCTGAGGAGGCCCTGGGTAATGTAAACACTTACGGCAGGGGCGGGAGGCTAACCAAATGGTTGGAGGTTCTAGTCTAACCTGAGTTGCCTCAGAAGAAAGGCCTGCCAATCTGCTTCCCAAAAAAGCCTCGAAAAAAATTTTGAATTATTATTAATTGGGAATTCATACCTATATAATACCATGCCATAGTTCAATCATGTCAAGCAGAATTTTACATTTACTACTGCATTCTTTTTCTTCCTGGACTCCTTGACATGATCTCCC